AATGAGACACGAGCCTCAAGAGTATATGTTTACGGTAAATTATCGACTGTGGGTGAGGTAGAAACGGATATATACCGGGTGTAACAGCAAAATTATCCAAATCGTGTAACAGCATAATTGCCCATTCCCAAAAATGTTTAATATCTAAAAATCACCTAACCTAATTGAGTTTCTTTTTTCCCTAGTTTTTAGATAAGACGTTTAGCCATCTTGACACCATTTGTCGTAAGAATTACTGAAATTCAAGCTAGAAAGAGAAGAGGATAAAACAGTTTTGTGTCAGATACACTGTCTTCCCAACTGAGCAATGGTGAGAGGAAAAGATCATTCAGGCCTTGAGTAATGGTACCAAATTTCTGGCTTTCATCTTCAAAGTCTATTCAAGAACCATCAAGGTAACGGTGAATAAGTTTTAAAAAAGGGAACAGTAGAGGGGAAAACTGGATCAGAAGGTTACAACAAGAGGAGGAATCATCATTTCAACTTAGAGCTAAAGAGATCAATTAGAAAAGATCCAACCCAATCCATGAGACTTTTAGCACTTGAGATATGAGTTTCAGCTATGACAGTCAAAAGAGCAGTGAAAAAAAAGCTCGAAAATGAAATCGTACGTGAAACCTGTGAGGCAACTTGTTATTCCAAGAAAGAAAGTTAGAAGGTTAGAGAGGGGTAAGATCATTTTGATTAAGTTGGAAAATGATCCTGGAATAATATATATATATATATATATATATATATATATATATATATATATATATCAATCCTTCATGAGCTTCCGATCCTTAGTTATGATTAACATGTCATTTTCGTTTATGATCGATTTCATCACGATTCTTCTGTTAAGCTTAGAGAGTAATTATAATTACATTCTTATTGCTCTAAATAAAGTCCAATAGTGTTGTAAAAACTTCGGAGAATGCCAGTAAGATATCTTTAATCATTTCTAATATACAACGGTTCAGAGCTTAATCTAACAATTGGACAACACCATAGTATAACTTCTCTGTGACCTTTTTATAAACAGTTCCATGATAATTTTTCTGACGAACTTTCCTCTATGGTACCTGGATATAATGAATTTAAGCACAGTACTAGATTGGTAACAAGGTCTTATCATTTTAGAGTTGAAATGCCTAAACGGAACCGTAAGTTCTATGCTAATAGTTTCTTCTTTCGCCAGTGGAATTCTCTCCGGCTTCTTGTTTTCCAGCCAACTTCAAAAGTTTAAATGCAATTTCATTATCTACCGTCTTTTTAATTCATGTTCTTTCATTGTTCCCGATACTTAACAATGTTCCTTACGGTGGAGTAATGGATAGCGACTCGGACTGACGAATCGGAGAGACGAGTTCGAATTCCACTCGAATCAATTACATTCACTTGGGAAAGGTATGAATCCTCTTCTTCTTCCACCCCCGCATCCAGCTATGGGTAAATAGAAGGACAGATTGAGTTCTATAGCCTTGGATGGCAACAGGTCTACTGCAGAAAGAAATGGCAACCTATTGCGGGAAAAAATCTGCCTCGTCAGTCATGTATCGAAAGATAAATGATCGCCTCAGCGTGTATTACGCATGGCACATAACTGAAGTGATATTTACTTACGTGCTAATACCCTTGGGAAACGTATGAATCCTCTGCTTCTCCCCCCCAGCTATGGGAAAATAGCAAGGCATACCGGGTTCTATAGCCTTGCATGGAAACTGGTCTACTGCAGAAAGAAATGGCAACTTACTGCGGGAAAAAAAATTGCCTCATCAGTCCTGTATCGAAAGATACATGATCGCCTCAGCGTGTATTACGCATGGCACATAACTGAAGTGATATTTACTTACGTGCTTGGGAAAGTTATGAATCTTCTTCTAGCTATGGACAAATAGCAGGACAGACCTGGTTCTGTAGCCTTTGATGGCTACTGGTTTACCGCAGAATGAAATGACAACCTACTGTGCGAATAAATCTATCTCATCAGTTATGTATCGAAAGATACATGATCGCCTAAGCGTGTATTGCGCATGGCACATAACTGCTTGACTGGTCCTCTTTCACACTCAATAACCTCCCTTGTGTCTTGATGGCTTTATTGTCTTATGTGGGGTGAAATAATTTAAAAATTCAAAACTCACACACATACATACACACACACACACACACACACACAAAACTATTTTGATTATTTATCTCCATTTTTGTTGTCATTATTGCAACGTTTCGGCTGTAGTGTTCTGTCTTCAGGGCCGGCGCGTACTACCCGCAAACCTCCGACCATGTCGGGGTAGCCTGATTGGGGGTTCTGGGCAGTGCTTTGTGATCCTTGTTATGAACAATTTTTGCGGATTTTGGCGTCATTCTGTCTTTTTTCTTCTAAATCTGTGATTTTTTTTTTCTGTGCAACGGGTTCAACGCGACATTAGTCTTTTGTGACCCGCCAGCCGTCTTGCTTGCTCTTTGATCTTTTAACTAATTTTACACTAAGCAGCAAGAGATGAAAAGAACTTTGCCTAAAAAAGATACAACTAGAAACCTTGACAAGAGTAGCTTGGTGAAAATAGCTTTCGGAAAAATATGAAAATTGAGATATAGTAGATTCGGGTGGAGAGGCACGAAACCCTTGCACCGGAACTGCCTGTTTTCACTAGGTGCTTGGCTTGTCAATCCGCCTAACAGTGAACAAATTTCGAACCGAACACTTTAATCTACGTAGGAGGTGGGGATTATTCGCTTTACGCCATCTATTTCCAGGGATATCTCATGTAGTTATTTAGTACTGTTCATACGTTCTATTGAGTTCAAGTGCATACTCCCCGATTGAACACGCAATTACTATGTTACTATGCCACCGGCGCTTGAATTCACTAAGCTATTGCCCCGTGGGACAATTCTCAGCTTTAAATCGAGCGGCACAACGGCCCAAGCGCTGTGTTGATAAAAACAAAGACGGGGACAATAGCCCGAGTGTAAATAATGATAACTCCTCACCCTAGAAATCCAGAGATGAAAAGATTACGTTTTTGATAATGCCTCATGGGCTACACTGGGTACTCTTAGTCGGTCCGCTGCTTGTATTTTGTGAACACCTGCTATAAAATTCTCGGACGTTTATATATAACTATTGAATAGAAGACGTCTTACCTCGTGTAGCAAAACGATCACGTATATGCCTGGCGTGCAAAACGAGTGGAGGAAAGGAAAAGAAATATGGCCGCCCTAACACCTTAAGAAAGATACGGTCTCGCAGCTATGAGAATTCGCGAGAGTGGTTAAACTTATGCAAATTTTTTGCGACATCAGCTGGGTATAAAAACAGGACGCGAGAGAGTATAGACAGTTCGTTCTTGAACGCGGTGTTGCCTGCACGAAGAGAATTTGTCAGTTGGAAAAAGATTACTTGGGTCAGTTTCATGCAATAGCCATGATGTCATAGATGGGAGAGAATGGACAACCTTAAGAGAGGACATGTTTGAAAATTCTATTGTCTGTAGTACGCTTTGCAACTTTTCCACTTTAATTTTTCCATTCACTCGTAAACCTCTTGTTGGTAATTTTCTATTATGGCATATTTATAAGGTTCCCCTGACATGAAATACATTAATTAAATGAAGAAAAATATTTTAAATCCTATGTTTTTCCAGCCTTTCCTCCGTTTTTGTTCACCACGGAACCAATCTAATATGTCTGCGTGCACGACTCACCGACTTCCCGCTCTTTTATTCATTCCGGTCTTTTATTGAACTAACCAGCTTTTTACCCTCGTCACAAAAGTAGACGACAAAAAGTGTAAAAAACAGGAAAATTAAAAAAAGAAAGAAAGAAAAACAAAAAACAAATGAAAATGATAAAAATCAAAATGAAAAACAACACGAGTAAATTTATTGTTTGAAAATATATTTTACATTGCAAAATAATTAGGCATAAAATGTTGATTTATTAAAATAAAGATGAGATTTTATTTAAATTTTTATTTTTATTTAAAATTTTAACAATATTTAAGGATTAAATCAGCGAAATATGAAAAACGGTAACTCTTTCATTTCTTTCTTTTAACCTGTCTTCCTTCCTTTCAATCTGTCTTCCTTCATTTATTCCTTTCTTTCTTTCTTTCTTTCTTTCACTGCGTCTTCCTTCCTTTTTCCTTTATTTCTTTTTTCTTTCTTTCCTTTCTTTTTTTCTTTCTTTCTTTTTTCTTTCTTTTCTTTCTTTCTTTCACTGTGTCTTCCTTCCTTTTTCCTTTATTTCTTTTTTCTTTCTTTCCTTTCTTTTTTTCTTTCTTTCTTTTTTTCTTTCTTTTCTTTCTTTCTTTCTTTCTTTCACTGTGTCTTCCTTCCTTTTCCTTTTTCCTTTTTTCTTTCTTTCCTCTCTTTCTTTGTCAATCTCCACTTTTGCTTCTATCCTTGTAGCATTTTCTTTTCTCACCCTTTGTTTTTTTTTGTGTTTTTCTTTCTTTCTTTCTTTCTTTCTTTCTTTCTTTCTTTCTTTCTTTCTTTCCAATCTCCGTGTTCTTTCTTTCTTTCTTTCTTTCTTTCTTTCTTTCTTTCTTCATTTTTTCTTTACGTATAACCAGACTGAGACACTGACGCCATTCGTTCTTCATGACAATGGAAGTATACATTTTTGCTCGTAGTACCGCCAGTGCTTTGAGCACATAAACCGTTACAGAATAATTAGAGGGAGAATTTTATTAGCAATCATAATAATTATTAGATTAAGTTAATTTTATTTAGATTATCGAGTTCATAAAAATATAACAAGAGACGAAGCATCTAAAAGATATTTATAAAAGTCGTATTTATTTTTGAAAGAGAGTGAGAAATAGAAAAAAAAGTAAACGAGAAAAAAGAATGAAATGTACAAAAGTTGAAAGTGAAAGTGAAAGTAGAGATCAGAAAAAGAAAATTGGACGAGAAAGGATGGAAGAATAATGAATTGGAGTGAAAGGCCAATTGTAAATCTGATATGTTCCTCGTTAATACCAAAGTCCTTAACTAAGTTTTATTCATGAACTAAAATACATATTGGAAAACATGTGGAAGTGAAAAGGGAACGAGAGAGAGAGAGAGAGAGAGAGAGAGAGAGAGAGAGAGAGAGAGAGAGAGAGAGAGGGAGGGAGGGGGAAGGAGAGAGAATATATAGTACAGAGAGTTAAAAAAATGAGAAAAAGAGGAATAAAGAGTAGGAAAATATGATATAAATAGAGAGGAACTGACTAAGCATAAAATATAACTACCTTCTTCTTGCTCTTCTTCGTTACCTCCTGTAGGAGGTTTTCTAATTTCATTTCCGTGTCTGCTATCAGGCACGGTGGAGTAATGGATAGCGGCCCGGATTGAGGAATCGAAGAGCTGAGTTCGAATTTCAGTCAGATCCATTACATTCACTAACCTTGGGAATGGTATGAATCCTCTACTTCTCCCTCAGTTATGGATAAATAGACCAAGTTCTATAGTCTTGGATGGCAACTGGTCTACCGCAGAAAGAAATGGCAACCTACTGCAGGATAAAAATCTGCCTCGTCAATCAAAGCAAGATACATGATCACCTAAGAGTGTGACTGACTGTGTACCTCAAAAAAAAAAAAACAAAAAAAAACAAATCAAAACAAGTAAATAAAATTTCATATTTTGTAGACTTTAGATGTACAGAATTGAAATAGATTTAGAAGGAACCGGAAAGCCGGTCATAAACAAGAAACAATGGATAAACCTTTACTCCAGTTCAAAAGGCCGTGGAGGAGTGCGACCTGAGCGATGATTGAAACTTCTACAAAAAAATAGTTAACCTATCTATAAAGTTAATAGAGAGAAGGGAAATAGAATATGAACAGGAGGAGGAAGAGAGATAGAGAGAAAAGAAGAAAGAGTCAGAATTGAACAGAGAGGGAACAGTGAAAGACTGAGAGTGTAGAGATATAGAGACATGCAAATGAATAGAGAGAGAGAGAGAAGGCGGGAAAAGACGGCTAGAGTGAGTGTGTGAAAGAGCAAAAAAGAGAAAAGAAAGAGAGAGAAAGAGAGTGAAATATATTGAAAGTTGAGATATTAGAGAGATATGAAAAAGAACAGAAAGACTTGGGGGAAAACAATGAGTATGAGTTTGTGGTAAACATAGACAAAATATGAAAGGAAAAGTGAGAGAGAGAGAGAGAGAGAGAGAGATACTAAGAAAGAGAAAAAAGGATAACAAGAGAGATGTACGAGAAGAGATATATATAGCGAATGTATAGGGTGCGGCAGAAATACCTCCCACATAATGGTTAGACATTAGCTAGATGAGAACGCCATTGTCACAAACGCCTTGTCATTATGTGGGAGGTATTTCCTGCCACCCCCCATATAATTAAATAAAAATGGAATTACCCTTTAATTTTGGGAAGAATAAATTTAATATGATAGGTCCTGATCTGGCATCTCGTCTACAGTCGCTTTCTCACAGACGTGACGTGGCTTCCCTCTTCCTTTTCTACAAATATTTTCATGACATCCGCTCTGAGATACTTTCACTAGTACGCCAACTGCATGAATTTAAGCGAGCTACTAGGCTGGCATCTCGGTCTCACCCTTTCAATGTCGAAACAGTTAAATGTAACCGCCTCTTCTACTCCAACAGCATCTTCTCTCGAACTTCCCAACAGTGGAACTCCCTTCCTCTTACTTACTTACTTCCCTGATAGCTATAATCTTCAAATATCCAAATGTAATGTCAATCGACATCTTCTAATGTCTTGATCCTGATCTCCGTCTTTCTCTATATCCTTTCCTCAAACACCCCTCTTTTCTCCGGCTGTCGTACTCTGTAAGCTCTTGCTTGGGGTGAAATGCTTAAAAAAAAAAAAAAAAACGAAAACAGAAATTATTTATAACCTAATAAATATCCTTCTGTATCTGTTAGCCGCGTTGTGGAAGGCAGTGGTTTGTCGTCTGCTGTAACTAATAGTGATTTTCTAAGCGTTGTTTAGATGTGGCACAAGGCCGAAAGTATGGAGCACCTAGTGAAGATCGAACTCACTTTTCAGTCATAATTGTTCTAGCGAGACTAGCTTTGAGGTTACACCACGCCGAGGTTCCCTAAGTGATTTTCCAAGCGTAGCACAAGGCCGAAAGTAAGGGGCACTCAGTGACGATTAAACTCACTACTCAGCCGTAATGTAAGCTGCCTCTGCTGTAACTAATATGGAAGGCTTGCCACTATGCTTGACGCGACTACATCATGATGAAGTTCTGTGTAGGCAATGAAAACATTTTGCAAACCGATGCTAAAACATATGTGCTTTTTTTTTTTTTTTTTTTTTTAAATTAAGGCTATAGTTTTCTTTAGCCATCATTGTAGCAATGTCGTAACCGCTAATGTAAGCTTTCAAAAGGACTGTTAAATGTCGACGCAGCACGTCTGGGATCGGTGTTGTAGTTATCACCATTTTTCATAATTGCGGTATTATTGCGTTTTTCATTCATTTTTTTCTTGGTTGTTTTTTGTTTGGGTGGACCCCAAACCGAGATTTGTTTGTTCAAATGATTATGAATGTTTGACGCACAGCTTCCACTCCCAGTTTCTATATGCAAAGTCATGCGTCAAACAATTATTGTTGTGGAGCGGTTTGCTTCTCTTTTCTTTATTTTGTCGCCATTTCTGACATTTCGTCTGTGACTCTCTGTCTCCTCGTTTATCAGTCTGTCTGTTTCGATGTTTGTCATCACAGGCTCGACATTTCATTTATATATTTAAAAAAAAAAAATATATATATATATATATATATATATATATATATATATATATATATATATATATATATATATATATATATATATATAAATATATATATATATATATATAAATATATATATGAAAATTACAAAATTTATATATATGAAATATATAAGATAGAATTATAAATTATATATATATAAATTACTTGTAATACATATATATATATATATATATATATATATATATATATATATATATCTAGATTATCATACATTTATATATCTATATATGAAAATTACAAAATTTATATATATGAAATATAAAAAGATAGAATTTTAAATTATATATATATATATATATGGACTTGTATATATATATATATATATATATATATATATATAAGACAAAGACTTATATATATCTCATACATATATATATGGACATATAGACTATTTATTATATAAATATATAAAAGGTACAAAATTAATTATATATATACAGATAGAATTGTATATATTTTCATATATATATATATATATATAGATAGATAGATAGACTTGTAATTCTCATATATATATATGTATATATATGATATGTAATTTTCATATATATATATAAAAGATAGATAGATAGATAGACTTGTAAAATTATCTATCTATGATATATATATATATACATATATAGATAGACTTAATTATATATATATATGATAGAATTGTATATTTCATATATATATATATATAAAAGATAGACTTGTATATATATATAAATTGATTTGTAAATTTTATATATATATATATATATATATATATATATATATATACTCAGATACATTGATTTGTAAATTATATATATATATATATATATATATATATATATACAGATACATACTGACTTAAACATACGCATTGACATTGATATAGACACAGTGATAAACACATAGACACACTATCATTCATACACACACGCACACTCTGATACGCATATACATACACTCTGTTGCACATATACACACATGGATTCACAAATATACACACCGAAAAAAACACACTCGTACACAGATAATGAATACATACAGATACATGCACACTGAACGCACACAAATACGCAAAATCACACACTGAGCATGTTGGCACACACATTCACATACACTAAAGTGCACATTTGCACCCACCGACGCACAAACCCACACACTGAACATATACTCAAACACTCACAGTGACACAAACATACACGCAATAAGGCACACTTACACGTTGATACACATATACTGAAACATATACACTGACACTAGCATACAAATTACCACTGAGAAACACTGACTAGCACATACACACTAACATACACAGCCGCACACACATTGAACATACACACTGATACACAACACTGACACACGAATTTAAACAATCTAAACATACACACAGTGATATACAAACGCACACATATACTCACATGCAGACACTGACCTATGTACGCATGCGTACACACAAGACGTTGATATAATTATTTTAACATCTGTTTGTTTTAAAATGACTCAACACTTTTTGATGGCGGCATCACTTTTGTTACAATAATAATGCTTATTTGTATTTGCGTTTTAATTGTTTTTCTAAATCATAAAACAAGTCTGATAGCATAAATGATAACAGAACACCAGTGAGACATTTCTTAAGATCGTAAATCAAATATGCAAAAAGAAAACTTCCATAAATTCATCAAGCAAGCAGATGTTTTAATAGAAAGAAATTTTCCCATTTCAATTTTTAAGTTAAAGAAAGAAATTCCCAAGATGTGATAAAAAAATATAGACACAAATAAGAAGAGGACTGGATTGGAGGTATACATCATCATTCATTTTCTAAAAATATATGCCAAAATGTGCAGATATATAGATTCTACACTATTTACATTATTCGGACTATTGTCCTCATCTTTGTCGCCATATTAATCACAACGTTTCGGCCTTTCGGTATCTGTCTATATTTCTGCGATGAGGTATTATGTATACTATTTACTTTTATTCAGACTATTGTCCTCATCTTTGTCGCCATATTAATCACAACGTTTCGGCCTTTCGGTATCTGTCTATATTTCTGCGATGAGGTATTATGTATACTATTTACTTTTATTCAGACTATTGTCCTCATCTTTGTCGCCATATTAATCACAACGTTTCGGCCTTTCGGTATCTGTCTATATTTCTGCGATGAGGTATTATGTATACTATTTACATTATTCAGACTATTGTCCTCATCGTTGTCGCCATATTTATTACAACGTTTCGGCCTTTCAGTATCTGTCTATATTTCTGCGATGAGGTATTATGTACACTATTTACATTATTCAGACTATTGTCCTCATCTTTGTCGCCATATTTATCACAACGTTTCGGCCTTTTAGTATCTGTCTATATTTCTGCGATGAGGTATTATGTACACTATTTACATTATTCGGACTATTGTCCTCATCTTTGTCGTCATATTTATCGCAACGTTTCGGCCTTTCAGTATCTGTCTATATTTCTGAGATGAGGTATTATGTACACTATTTACATTATTCAGACTATTGTCCTCATCTTTGTCGTCATATTTATCGCAACGTTTCGGCCTTTCAGTATCTGTCTATATTTCTGAGATGAGGTATTATGTATACTATTTACATTATTCAGACTATTGTCCTCATCTTTGTAGCCATATTTATTACAAAGTTTCGGCCTTTCAGTATCTGTCTATATTTCTGCGATGAGGTATTATGTACACTATTTACATTATTCAGACTATTGTCCTCATCTTTGTCGCCATATTTATCACAACGTTTCGGCCTTTTAGTATAAAAATTATATTTCTGAGATGAGGTATTATGTACACTATTTACATTATTCAGACTATTGTCCTCATCTTTGTCGTCATATTTATCGCAACGTTTCGGCCTTTCAGTATCTGTCTATATTTCTGAGATGAGGTATTATGTATACTATTTACATTATTCAGACTATTGTCCTCATCTTTGTCGCCATATTTATTACAACGTTTCGGCCTTTCAGTATCTGTCTATATTTCTGAGATGCGGTATTATGTATACTATTTACATTATTCAGACTATTGTCCTCATCTTTGTCGCCATATTTATCACAACGTTTCGGCCTTTTAGTATCTGTCTATATTTTTGCGATGAGGTATTATGTACACTATTTACATTATTCGGACTATTGTCCTCATCTTTGTCGTCATATTTATCACAACGTTTCGGCCTTTCAGTATCTGTCTATATTTCTGAGATGAGGTATTATGTACACTATTTACATTATTTGGACTATTGTCCTCATCTTTATTGCCATATTTATCACAACGTTACGCTCCGGCCTTCTTCATTTGGTTGGAATGTCGAACTGAACCCTTTATTTCGCTCGCTGGGGTAGACTGTTCTAGTTCCACGTGTCATATCTAATGGATG